CCTCTCTATCGAACCACCCTTCTTTTTATCTTGAATACCCACTTGTTGGGAAGGAGTTTCATGTTGGGATGATAAGGCACAAGACTCCAAGTACCACACTGTAGCAGAGCACTAAATTGCAAAGCCATTGCATTCTGCCATTCTTGGTGTTTGACTGCCTGGCTAAAACAAGTGGGTTCAACCATTTTTTTTGTTAGTAATAACATGTAATGTATACTTAGGATTAGGCTTTTGAATCCCTGCTTTGGACCTCATCATCATGGGATGTTCTAGGAGAGATATCGATGCACTTTGTTGGGATGTAAATGACTGGGAAACAGGCTGTGTTTCTTGGTTCACAGGCACAGACTCTTGCTCATTTGGGATTGGGTCACTAAAACATAGTTCACTAGGGCATAGTTGATTAGGACCTGGCGCACTAAGGCTGGGAAGACTAAAGGCTGGTTCAATATGAAACGTTGAAGAGATAGGCATGAGAGAGATATTTGGGATTATATTTGTGGATATAAGCAGTGGAGAGACCGAGTGTGATTGGGATTCTGGGTGGGGAATAGGAATAATGCTAGGCTCGGGTAGATTAGGATTATTTATTGATTGGGTAGATGGATAAGAATGGTGAAGGTCAAAAGTAAATAAGAGGACAAGGTTAGATAAAGTACCTTGTGTGGAGTCTGTTTCCTTGTGAGATGTAAGTTCCTTAAAAGGAAATGAGTCCTCATCATAGGACATGGCGAGACAAATAAACTCGTCTCGTGGACAAATCCAAACACTTGTATCCTTGATGATTCAACAAGTAACCTAAGAAAACGCACGACTTGGATTTTGGTTGAAGCTTGTGCTGTGTATAAGGTGTCAGCCATGGAAAGCACCAACACCCAAAAACCTTAAGACTCTCATAATTAGGTTTTCTAGAAAATAATTTCTCATATGGAGAAACATTCGATAAAACTCTTGCTGGTAATCTATTAATTAAATAAGTGGTTGTTAAACAAGCATCAAACCAATATTTATTTGGGATTTGAGAATGAGAAAGCATGACAATACTTGTTTCAACTATGTGACGATGTTTTCTTTCCACAAGTCCATTTTGCTCAAGGTGTTTTGGACATGAAAAACATTGAGATATTCCTTGTGCAGCAAGAAATCATTGAAAAACATTACTTTTATATTCTCCACCTTCATCACATTGAAGAGTTTTAATGGACATGTTAAACATATTTTCCACTTTAGTCTTAAACTCAACAAAAATTTGGAAAACTTTAGACTTGTTTTTTATGGGAAAGATCCAAGTGCATCGAGAATAATCATCTACAAATAATAAATAATAACGAAACACTTCAATTGAAATTACTGGTGAACACCACACATCATAATGTAAAAGTTGCAAAGGAAACTGGGAAACTGAATCAAACATCTTAAAAGGGAGTTTGGTACTCTTGCCCAAGGGACATGAGTGACAAAACGTTACATGTGAAGTATTAACACCTTAATTATTGACGACGCTGGGTGACCTAAAAAAGAGTGCCACTTCTGAGCCGACACACGAATTCCTACGTACATTGAAAAAGGATAATGAGGATGTCCACCGCCACCTGGAAATGGGTATAACTCATTCTTACATCTCCCTTGAAAAGTGTCCTCCGGGTCTTAAGGTCCTTAACAATAAAATGGTCAGGAAAAATTAGTAAATAACAGTCATTATCACTAGTAAACCTATGGGCTGAAATGATATTGGTAGAGGCAGACGGATAGTGAAGTATATCGTTGTGTTTAAATGAGCAAGAGCCAGTGTAAATGTGATTTGAACTAGAATGAGAAATAGAGAATCCAGTGTCATTAACTACTCCACCAACATTTTCATTACCATTATACTCCTTTGCGTTCACTAAGTTTTGAATGTCCTGAGTCACATGCGCATTTGCTCTGGTGTCGCTGGTGTCGAGGAACCAAGTCCCATTTTGTTGACGGTTCAAGGTGATGGGTGAGGACGCCATGGCAGTGAGACATTTGGTTAGAATACGTCTCTCATACACAGCATTCATGCGTTGATAGCAATCTAGAGCAGGATGTCCATGTTTCCCACAAATTTGACAAGTAATTCTTTCACCTCCAGAGTTGTAGCGTTCCCCATTGACGGTAAGATTACGTTGGTTGTTGTTTTGAGGAATAAAGCCTCGCTGGTTCACATTAGCAAAACCTCCACGGTTGGACGGAAAACCACCTCGTCCAAAACCTCGAGGACGTGCACCGCGTCCTCTAGCAGTCACAAATGCATTCAGACTCCACCACAGGGACAATTTGCTCTGCCATTTGTCTCTCCATTGTCAACAAGAGAGCTGCGAAAGTTGGATACGTGATAGGGGTATCACGTGCTTGAGCAGCATTCACAGTCATCTCATATGCAGGACCAAGGTTATTCAAGATAATTTGGACAAGTTCATCATCATCAATAGGTTTGCCAGCTAGGGCAAGGTTGTCAACAATTGAATTCATTATATCAAGGTAATCAGCAATAGACATCTCACCTTTTTTGGTTTGAAGCAATTCATTTCGAAGAAGCAAAATGTGATTTTGAGAAGATGAAGCGTACCGCTATTCCAGAGCCTCCCACGTAGCACGAGAGGTACATTTAATTGCCACAGCCGACAAGACAGACACCGTCCATGAGCCATTAATCTAACTTAGGATCATTTGGTCTTGCTGCATCCACATAGTGTACGCTACGTTGACAGCAGTGGTGCCAGGAAGGTGTTTGGGAGGACAAACAATGGACCCATCCACATAGCCCATCAAATCACAACTTCTCAGTATTGGTAGGATTTGAGCCAACCACAATGGGTGGTTGGTTCTGTCAAGGTTGATGTTCACAACAGTTGTCTTAGTGGATGAAAAGGGGTTCATGGAATTCATTTGAGGATTGGGGGGGTTGGGGGTGGAGTTGGCTGGCTGGGAAAAAGTTACGTTGTTGTTGTGGGCCATGAAAAAAAATTGCAGGATCTTGTCGTTAGACAATTAGGCTCAATACCATGTAAAACTTTAGTAGGCTAGGTTTTCAGTTATGTTTGCACACCCTTTCAATCGAGGGTTGCTTGTATTTATAAGGTCATAGAGATTACATCAGCGGGTTTGAAATACACTATTTACACACTAGTTTGAAATTCAAACTTTACAACAACATAATAAACTTATCTAAGAAACATTCAAAATATTCCTAGACTTATCAGACTCCCTTTGAGATAAAGAAGAATCACGCACACAACAGACTTGAGAGTTTGAATGTAAATGGGAAGTTTGACTTGGTCTAACAGTATCTTGGCATTTAAGATAAGAAAAATATAAAGTTCTTGTCTTCAAGGCAAAGAAAAGAATCTCATATGGATTTAACACCTCCATGGAACAGTCTTTTGATAAAGAGGCTCGGTTTACTTGTGGTACAAGCAAATGACCTAAAAACATCCAAATATTAAACAATTTGTTGGTCTTGGCCAGCAATGGCACGCCTGAAAACAATTAACTTTGTAAGAGAGTCTAAGAACCTACTCAAAGCTTTGCTAAGGCACCTTCAACTAACACAGGATTCTAACCACGAAGTACCAAATTTTAGCATAAATTGGCTTTGCCCTGCATCTGTTAAAACAGATCTAACCAACAACACCGGCGTCTTGATTGTCGAAGAAGGTGCTGCAAGGGTTGTGAAGTTAGTGTTGCTGACCAATTATGGTCCTTCTGGCTTCTTCTTTTCTCAGTATTAAGTGGCAGAGGTTTGATTGAAGATGATATATATATATATATATATATATATATATATATATATTGTTAAAATACTTATGTTATTTGTTTTTCAATAAACGTGCATTCCTATAGTTTAGGTGGTCTGTTGTGGATTTACTTATTCTTTAGGCATATCTCAGATTTTGTGGAGTCTATCAAGTAGTGGATGGTGTTGTGTTCCAAGTAATGGTTTAGTCGTGCCTTTTAATTTGCCAAGTCATTTATTGTCTTTTCTATTTAAGTTGTAATCTATGTTGAATTATCTGAATGAAGTTGAATTTTTTTGGCCAGATTCATTTGTTCTCTTTCATTCAGCAGATACATATATATATGGTTTGAACACACATTTGACACACGTTTTTATGGTGAAGAGAGTGCTAAGGCGGGTTACCATTTTCAACTTGTTAAGAAAAATGTTAGTTTGGTAATTTTTATGTTTAGTTTATGTGGAAGAGAGAGCTAATGTGGAAAGTCTTACGAAAAACATCGTCAACTTAACTCTTGAAGACAATAGATCAAGCCAAAGTTCCAATACAATTTTACTTAGTGTGATAAAAATTGAAGGGTTTTGCTGTAAGAAACAACGTGCATGCTTTGTGTCTCATTCAACTCATTGGCAAGGCTCTGACTTATGAGAAAGGCTCTACAACGTTGAAAAAAAATACTCCGTTCATTTTGCAATTTGCATGTCCTTCTACATTTTGATATTTTGTAGTAATGTATAATGTTTTTCCATTAGGCTCTTATTTTTGGGTATATAATATCTGAAAGATAAATTTGTTTTTTTGTTTTGAAGTAATGTTTATGTGACAAAGTGGTATGTAGATACTAATTTAGGATGATTTTTTTATTTGCTAATTTATTACTAATTTAGGATGATTTTTTTATTTGCTAATTTATTGAAGTAAAATAAATTATTACCCGTTAAAATACGGGTTGGGTTAAAGTATCAGTTAAGATTAATGGGTTTGACAAGAAATGATCTGTTATGATATCGAGTATGTCATGAAAATGACACGAACACAACTAACACGACATGATCTCCAGGTCTACCACTTCCCTCTCTGCATACTAAGCGGGCCTATAATAGCTTAATGGATCCACTAGAACTGTATTTGACATGGCCCAAAAGTGGTCTTTTTCTGTGGGTTTTATATGAAGCCCAGAAACCCCAAAAGGGGTGGCTCAAATTTCAAACCCCAAAAGGGCAAAAAATAGTCAAAATAATACAACTTGGTCCTTGCACAATACGCAAAAATCTGAGGAATTGTAAGAAGTGAGTCTGAAAAGTAGTCAAATATCTATAAATATGGTCTGAGAACTAGAAAGAAAGAAAAAGCTGAAACCCAACCAATTTAACAATGGCGGACACAGTAAAGAGGTAAGTGTATAAATAAAAAGATCCCATATCTTATCAATTATCTTCTTTTCTTCTTCCAGAATTTCCCAATATATTTTCATTGGGGTTTTTTGTTTTTTCTGTCAGGTATGCAGTTGTGACAGGAGCTAACAAGGGGATTGGATTTGGCACAGTTAAGCAGTTGGCTTCAAACGGCATCGTAGTTGTGTTGACTGCTAGAGATGAGAAGAGGGGTCTTGAAGCTCTTGAAAAACTGAAAGATTTTGGCATTTCTGATCTCGTTGTTTTTCATCAGCTTGATGTAACAGATTCTGTTAGTGCTGCTAGATTGGCGGACTTTGTCAAAACCCAATTCGGGAAACTCGATATCTTGGTAAGTAAATATTGAAATTTTGAGCTGATTTTTACTGTTTAAGTTGAGCAATAGAGAGCAAAGATGATTAATCTCTGGTTAATTACTTACTGATGAAGGCAGAGATGACAGGGATGAAATTTTTGGCAATTTTGTACTGTGTAGGTAAACAATGCAGCAGTTGTTGGAAGCATAGTAACCCCTGAAGATTTCAAATCAGCTTCAAGTGGTAAGGTGAGGTTCTCTGTGTGTATATATGTGTGTAGATATATATACATATCATAACCTTCATCATAAAGGTGAGATGATTTTGCCTTTTGGAATTGGAAACAAGATTAATTGACAAGAGCAACCTTGTGAATCAGTAAAAGTTACATCCAGGCGATTTTCATGCTCACTTTTTCTCCTGTATTACTCTCTCGTTTTTGTTGCTTGACTCTCCTTACATTTATTCAATCCAAATGCTAGGAAGAAAAAAGAAATGAGTACAGGGGGAGAAAAGGAAGTGCGAAAATCGCTTCCCTTTCCCCCATTTGAGATGAAGTTAGGGGCTTACGCAATACAATTTTCTGGGAACACAATCCTTGTACAATTTCATTCCCGTATAACTTTATAAATTAATTAGGGAAAATGATGGTGCAAAGCTTTCAAAAGGGTTAACTTTTTTTCTGGGATGCAGAGGCCTGAAGAAATCAATTGGAGTGAAATACCGACCATACCAAACGACGAGGTAGCGGAACAATGCCTGAAGACAAACTACTATGGTACCAAAAGTGTGACTGAAGCGCTTTTGCCCCTCCTCCAGCTATCTGATTCTCCAAGAATCGTGAATGTTTCTTCCGGTGTTGGTAAACTAATGGTATGATCAACATAAAAATATGTTTCTTTTTCTGGCATTCCCTTGACAAGATCAAATTTCCACTTAGTTGTTGAAATAGTTGATGAAATTGAACCAAATATTTCAGTCAAATTGTTTTCCTTTTATGAAATGTATTAGAGAACTCTGTCCTTCATCTGTTTTACAAAAAGGAATCCTTCTGTTTTTTCATACGTAAGATGCAATTTTTGTGTTTTGAAATCAAACCAAAACTCTCCTGTCTTTCATGCTGCTTCAGAATTTTCCAAATGGATGGGCTAAAGAGGTACTGAGTGATGCCGAGAGACTTACAGAAGAGAAGATAGATTCTGTGTTGATTAGATTTTTGGAAGACTTCAAAAAAGGAGACACCAAAATCTGGTCTCCTATTTTTCCACCCTATACAGTCTCGAAAGCAGCATTGAACGCATACACCAGGATTCTGGCCAAGAAGTATCCGAATTTCTGCATCAATTGTGTGAGCCCTGGATTTGTCAAAACAGATATAACCTTCAATGTTGGCATCTTAACCATCGACGAAGGTGCTGAAAGCCTTGTCAGGTTGGGGCTACTTCCCAACGGCGGTCCTACTGGTCTCTACTTTGGTCAGAAAGAAGTCGCTTCGTTCTGAGTACTTAATAGTTTTTGCACAATGTAACAGATGAAGTTTGGGACTTTCGTAATAGATGTGTGTGTGATCACTTTCTCTAGAAATTTTTACAATGATTGTTAAAGAAATTTTTTTTAGACATTTATTCTGTCCAAAATAAATAAATGTCAATGCTGCAATTTGAGCATTCGTCCATGAACACTATTGCAGTTTTCTGTAAACACAATCCTTCTACTATTTTATTCCGTCTATAAGTTAATGCATCGTCTCCTGGGTGTAAAAGAACATGAAGAAGTCAAGAAGAGTGAAAAATCGAGCCACAATCTACGAGTTTCAGAAGGAATGTGTTACTCTTCCAGCTATCTAATTTACCAAGAATTGGCAATATTTTTCCGGTGTTGCTGAGCTAACGGTGTGAGCAACTTAGAAAAATATATTTCCTAGGCATACTCATAACAAATCAAAGTTTATAGGAGTAGTTAATATGGTTGATAAAGTTTTTTAACAAAAACATTTCAGTCAATTTGTTTGCCTTAAATAAGACTTTGGTTAATATTTTGTTCTCAATCTCTATATATTTGGTACCTGCATTCAGGAGCCTGGCTGAAAATTCATTATTCAACATAGTTATTCGAAAATTGTAAATTTAATCAAGAAAAATATATTCCAGAAGTTTCAACAGATTTAAAAAAAAAGAGACTAGTAGAAATTGATTGAATCAATCGATTGAACCATTTGTTACTAATCGAGGCTTGTATTGTTGGATGAATCGATTAGAATTGCGTTTAACATGGCCTGTAACTTTATTTTTTGTGGATCTTAAATGAGGCCCAGAAGGAAGAAAAAAATAGTCAACGTCATATGACCTCAATGCATACACAATCTGCAAATAGTTCATATGACCTCATTGCATACGCATCTGCCAAAAACTGACGAATTGTAAGAAGTGTACGAAAAACTGGGTTCAAATGTCCATAAATATTGGTCTGAGAACTAGAAAGAAAGAAAAAGCTGAAAGCAAATCAATTTAACAATGGCAGAAGCAGTAAGGAGGTAGTTTTATTTGTAACACCCATTTTTTCTTACATATTATCTTTCTTTTTCTTTTTTTCTTTTTTTTTTTCCAGAATTTCTTAATTTGGTTTTTCTGTCAGGTATGCAGTTGTGACAGGAGCTAACAAAGGGGTTGGATTTGGCACAGTTAAGCAGTTGGCTTCAAAAGGCGTCGTAGTTGTGTTAACTGCTAGGGATGAGAAGAGGGGTCTTGAAGCTCTTGAAAAACTGAAAGATTTTGGCATTTCTGATTTGGTTGTTTTTCATCAGCTTGATGTAACAGATTCTGCTAGCGCTGCTGTATTGGCGGATTTTGTGAAAACCCAATTCGGAAAACTCGATATCTTGGTATGTAAATCTCAAAACTTAGAGCTGATTTCTGCTGGTTAGGTTAAGCAATACAGTTTAGTATTAACCACGGATTACCTGCTGATGAATGATGATGTTTGCTTTAATTTGTGTTTTAAGTTGAAGTAAACATAACAAAGATGAAACTTTTGGAACTTTTGTGCTGTGTAGGTAAATAATGCAGCAATTAATGGAAGTGTGGTAAACCCTGAAGCTTTTATATCAGCTGCTACTGCTAAGGTGAGGTTTTGTGTGTGTGTCTATATATATATATATATATATATATATATATATATATATATATATATATAGATCGGTAAAAGTTACATCTAGGCAAAAAAATTATTAGACGCAAAGCATTTTCTTGTGTAGTGGGTAGCAGTTTTCAGACTCTCGTCTTCTCCTTATGCATCATTCTCCGTTTTTTTTCCCTTGATTCTTCTTTAATATATTCAATCCAAAGGCCGGGAACAAAAAGGGAGTGAAAGGGTGAAGAGGGAGTGCGAGAGTCGATTCCGGGTTGTTTTTTTAAGATGAGGTTAGGAATTATTCAATAATTCTGGGACACAATCCTTGTACAAATTTCGTTCTCTTATAACTTCACTTTGGGAAAGTAATGATGCAAAACTTCAAAGGGGGTTAATTAACGTTTTTCTCCCGGATGTAGAAGCCTGAAGAAATAAATTGGAATGAAATACCGACTATACCAAACTACGAGTTAGCAGAAGAATGCCTGAAAACAAACTACTATGGTACAAAAAGAGTGACTGAAGCGCTTTTGCCCCTCCTCCAGCTATCAGATTCTCCCAGAATCGTCAATGTTTCTACCGGTGCTGCTAAGCTTATGGTATGGCATTCTCCTAACAGGATCAAGTTCCGCTTAGTTGTTGATATGGTTGATGAAATTGAACCAAAGATTTTCAGTTGATTTATTTTCCTTTAACAAAAAATATTGGAGAACTCTTTGTCCTTCATCTGTTTTTTATTTTGAAAGTGTGCTTGTTTGGAACTTACTAAACCTTTCTATACATAGACAATATTTTCTGTTTCGAAATCAAACTAAAACTCTGTCGTCTTGCACGGTGCTTCAGAATTTTCCAAATGGATGGCCTAAAGAGGTACTGAGTGATGCAGAGACACTTACAGAAGAGAGAATAGATTCTGTGTTGAGTGGATTTTTGGAAGACTCTAAACGAGGTTTGCAAGACATCAAAATCTGGCCTCCTGTTTTTCCACCCTATACAGTCTCGAAAGCCGCCTTGAACGCGTACACTAGGATTTTGGCCAAAAAGTATCCAAATTTCTGCATCAACTGTGGCAGCCCTGGATTTGTCAAAACCGACATGAGCTTCAATGCTGGCATCTTAACCATCGACGAAGGTGCTGAAAGCATTGTCAGGTTGGCGCTACTCCCCAACGGCGGTTCTACTGGCCTCTACTTTTCTAGGAAAGAAGTGGCACCTTTTTGAAGGTTCTTTTATGTTTCATGAATAATGATCATCAATAGTGTGTGTACATTGTAATAAATGAAGTTTACAAGCTTATGTTATAATGTCATGAAAATTGACTTGTTGTTACAATGCAGAGTGTCGTTCTCCTGGTCACCCATTCACTCTTAGTCTCTTTCTCTTTGCCCTTGATATCAATTATGTTCAAAGAGAATGTAAAATGCTACAAGATGAAGACATGGTGATTGGCTTTATGACTTTAGTAGATTTGATTGAGATGAGCGGTTTATTTATAGCTTGGTAATGAGGAGGGCTTAAAGCTCAAACAGACAGAAAAGAAGCAATACAACAAAAGGCCTAAAACTTGTATTTTCTTGTGGGTGTAAAAAGAAAGCCCAAAGGCCCATAAACCAAACCAAAACTTTTTTTTGTTTTTTGACAAATGTGATTCTAAATTAGTCTAATTTACGGGTGCAAGGATATGGGTACATTACAGTGTACTATCGTAGACTAGCTAACTCATGATTCCAAATTGCACCAAAACTTCAAACTTTAATGTCACATCCCCGTCCGGGACGGATCACTTCCCGGGCCCACTCCACCACTGTAGCACGATATTGTCCGCTTTGGGCCCTGACTACGCCTTCACGGTTTTTGTTTATGAGAACTTCCCAGTGGGTCACCCATCATGGGATTGCTCTCGCACACTACTCGCTTAACTTCGGAGTTCCGATGGAACCCGAAACCAGTGATCTCCCAAAATGCCTCGTGCTAAGTAGGGATGAGAATATACATTTAAGGATCACTCCTCTGGGCGATGTGGGATGTTACAATCTGACACGCCCCGACCCTGATATTCCCCGAATACCAGGATAGACACGTGCTGGCCGACACCCGAGGGTGATGAAAGCCATTAATTGATACAAAAGCTAAGAATAAGAAATAAATAAGGGTTAGAAATTTAAAATACAAAGAATTAATAATTTAGGAACGTGTTCAGAGCATACAACTAACTAGAGTTCTAAAAGAATTAATATAAGATTTAATAAATAACAGATGTGGGTCCTACACCAAGAGGACTCGAATATGCCAAAGCGAAGACGTTGACATCGGGATCGTATGCCTCGATTCTAAATCCTGAAAAGAGGCGCAAAACAAGGGTGAGTGGACCAAGTTTATATATATACATAATACAAAAACAGTTATGAACATACTAACCCCTAGGTTTATATATAATGAAAACTACTAGCATAAATAAGTGATAAATTTTCCTGAAACTCTAGCATTCCAAAAATATCTCAAAAATCATATCGCGGAATAACATCGCGGAAATCAAAACAGTAAACATCTCATAGATCGTCTCGTAAGCGCGGTGTGCTGCTAGTAAGATCACTAAATAAATATAACTCCCGGCCCAATGCCTGTTTCGTGGTCTCTGCACCCGTAGCCAGAGATTACCAACTCTCGACCTAATGCCTGTCCCATGTCCCTCAGCCCGTAGGTAGGGATTATTTCTCCCGGCCTAAATGCCAACACCAGATCCTCGCCTCAGGCGGCATAGTGTCCTAGGTACGCATAAATAGTTACGCCTCTCAAAAATAACTACTTCATAGTATAAAGTCATCCATCATCTATATTATAAAGAGGGGTTTCGAAAACATGTTCTAGAATCCTATCGTCATCCATTAGATAGTCTACCCGTTCATGGTTTTTATACAAAATATGATATATTAAAATATAGCTCAATAAAGGCCAACAATTAATTCCTCACCAAAACACGAAACGAAAATCAATATATTCAGTAAACAGACTTAACATAAAATCAAATCATAAACTCGAAAGGCATGCTATTCATTTATGCAATTGAACTATAAAATCATGTAATTTTAGATGGGGTCCACTCACAGTACTTCGCCATCGAAAAGCTGCGCAGCTAACGAATATGCAAAAGCCACAATAATTGTCCCTAAGCACATAAAGAGTCCAATAAATAAAACTATATAATAGCAATTGAATTTGGGAAAACGGACATTGGAAACGGATTCAGAACGTCGAATTACCTTAAGAATGGTCCTGGATAAATTTCGTAAAATTCCATAGAATATTCTAGAGAATATTCCCTGATGGAAAATTCTCTAATAGAATATTGGGTCGGTTAGGGTTTAGGGTTTAGGACTTGGGTTAGGGTTAAGTTCTAGAATAATGGGTTAATGGGTTTAGGCTAAGGGCTAAGGGGTTTGGGTTAAGCTTTTAAAAATGGTTGGGCTTTAAGAGTTTGGGTTTATTTTCAAACAATTAATATAAATAAAAATAAAAGGATTTGGATTGGGTTTAAGGGAAAAAGGGCTTAGGGTTTTAAGGGTTAAAAGAGTCCACGGGCCTAAGGCCCTAACTGAATGGCCCAAGGGCCTTTGGGTTTCTAATAGAAAATAAACAAATAAAATAAATAACAAAACAAAAAAGATTGGGTTGCCTTAAGGTTTTGGGCTTAGACTCAACGGCCCGAAGGCCTGGTTTGAAAGGGCTTTGGGGCTTGAAAGCCCGGCCCGAGTTCCAATTGTGGGTCGTCAGATCCATTTGAAAGAGAAGGTCGGATTTCGGCCGGAAAACTGAACAAACTTTAAACGTTAATAACTTTGTCGATACTCAACGAAATCAAGTAATTCAAAAACGGAAATCGTAGCCCTCGAAGAGACAAAGAGAATGGTCCTCACATGACGTCTAACTTGCTGTGGTTTGACCGCAAAATGCCTCGAAAGCCTCAGAGGTCGCCTGAAACTGGGTAAGATTCAAATGAGTATAATTTCTTCAATACTCAACGAAATTGGGTGAAACAAAAAGGAAAGTTGTAGTACTCAACGAGACGAAGAGATTGATACCTTGCACGCTGGCCAACCGCCGTGGTTTGGCCGGAAGTTTCCTTGAAAGTGGCGATCTGCGTCGGAGCTCGGGTACGGGGCTTCATGGTTCGACTTCCAAGATGCCAAGACTACGGTTGAGTTCGTAGTAACAAGATAAAGACGATGGTGATGTTGAAATTGTGATTTGATGATGATTTTAGGACATAGGTTATGGGTGTTGCACGGTGAAGGAGAAGAAGAAAAAGAGAAAATGAGGGAGAGTGACGGGAAAGAGAGGGCATAAGGAGACCAAAAAGGGATTCCACGTGGCACACAATTTAACATAAAAAACAATTTTAAAAGAAAATAATACTCAAAACAAAATGAAATTACATTATTTTTAGGGATGGTGTTTTACATTAAAATCAAAAACAAAAAATGTCAAAGTTATACTCTAAATCTCATTACACTGAGATTAAAACCTTAAAAAGCAAGTTTGTTTATTTCTTTTATTCTTGCTATCAAATTCAAAAATGAGTGATCATGTACTCTTTGACTACCTACCTTATGGCGAAGATAACATTTTTGGAGTTTTATATGACCTCATTGTATACCCTATGTTATATGGTCTCATTGCGCACCAAAAAAAAAAAAAAAGACACCAAAATCGGGTCTCCTATTTTTCCTGTACAGTTTCGAAAGCAGCCTTGAACGTATAAACTAGGATTCTGGCCAAGAAGTATCCGACTTTCTGCATCAATTGTCTGAGCCTTGGATTTGTCAAAACAGTATAACCTTCAATGTTGGCATCTTAACCATCGATGAAGGTGCTGAAAGCCTTGTCAGGTTGGCTGGCGGTCCTACTGGTCTTTACTTTGGTCAGAAAGAAGTTGCATCTTTTTTAGTACTTAATAGTTTTTGCACAATGTAACAGATGAAGTAAGGGACTTTCGTAATAGGGTATGTGTGTGATCATCTCCCTAGAGAGTTTATATGATGATTATGTAGTGCAAACAAAATTTCTTATAGATTTATTCATTGTCCAAAATAAGTAAATGTCAATGCTGCAATTTGAGCATTCGGCAATGAACACTGTTGCAGTTTTTTGTAAACACAATCCTTCAACCATTTTATTCCGCCTATAAGTTAATGCATCGTCTCCTGGATGCAAAAGAGCATGAAGAGGTCGAGTGGAGTGAAACATCGAGCCACAAACTACGAGTTTGCAGAAGAAATATGTTACTCTTCCAGCTATCTGATATACCAAGAATTGGCAATATTTTTCCGGCAATCTTTGGTTCCTTCATTCAGGAGCCTGGCTGAAAAAATTCTTTATTCAATATAGTTATTCGAAAATCGTAAATGCAATCAAGAAAAATATATTCCATAAGTTTCAACAGATCTTGAAAAATGAGACAAGTAGAAGTTGATTACAGAGAGTAAAAAAGCAAAAATAGAGAATGTCGTTGAACTATACACTACTGAACGAGCCTTGTGTCGCTAAATGAATCGATTAGAATCTTGTTTAACATGGCCCGTAACTTTATTTTCTGTGTATCTTAAATGAGGCCCAGAAGGAAGAAAAAAATAGTCAACGTCATATGACCTCAATGCATACACAATCTGCAAATAGTTCATATAACCTCATTGCATAAGCATCTGCAAAAAAAACTGACGAATTGTAAGAAGCGTAGGATTCTCTTCCATCCTCTTTTCATCCTCTCTTCTCATATTCTTTATTTATTTATTTTTTCTTTTTTTATAAAAAAATTAATATAAAATATTGAGGTAGCTTAACCATGACTGTTCAAATAGAATGGCAGGAAAGGGGAGGGAAAAAAAAAAGGAGAGAATCCTACTCCTTATTTATAACATCCATTTTTTCTTAGGAAAACTAATGAAAAAAATTTGAAAAGAGTTTTAACGATAAGAACAAAATACATAGTAAAGTGAATAGTACTATGATTGACTTTTAGTATAAAAAACTTTTGTTAAAGTTCCATTTTTTTCTTGGACAAGGATTGTCTGCCCTCCCCGTGCCTTCCTGTTTTGTGTGGTTATGGTTAAGCCACGCCAACATTTTATATTATTTTTTTATAAATATAATAAAACAAAAATAAATAGTAATATAAAATATTGACGTCGTTTAACTATGAGCATATAAATAAAAAGGCACGAAAAGGGCATTTTTTTCTTACCTATTATCTTTCTTTTTTTCTATTCTTTTTCTTTTTCCAGAATTTCTTAATTTGGTTTTTCTGTCAGGTATGCAGTTGTGACAGGAGCTAACAAAGGGGTTGGATTTGGCACAGTTAAGCAGTTGGCTTCAAAAGGAGTCGTAGTTGTGTTAACTGCTAGAAATGAGAAGAGGGGTCTTGAAGCTCTAGCGAAAGTGAAAGATTTTGGCATTTC